GTATCTTTTAAACATACGTAATTAGGAAAAATATTTATTTAGATTTTCGTCTTATTTTGACTTGCTTAATCTGCTCCTAAATTTATGCCACTAAGTTTAGGGACACCTTGTATAATAAATATGTTTTCACTAAAAAATCGTTTTATCCACCTAAAATAAGTAATTCATTTAAAAATAGCATATACTTTAATGATAATTAAAAAAATAATATTTGAAAAAGTACCTACCTTTTTTACTGGTTACTTGAAAGGGAAAAAATCACTTCAAGAAAGTTCAAATTTGACCTTCTCTACTAAATCAGTTATGAAACTTAAGAAATTTGTTATATGTTTTTAACATACCTTTATTAGTTTACTAATGAAAAAAATTTTAATTTACTCAAATATATTAATGTAGATTTTATAGGTTTTGGCCAGCTTTTTGGGCATTTCCAACACTGTGTGCCAGTACATTATTATATACAATACAATAATTATTGTATGTGTCAATTAATTGACTAATTAAGTAATCAACTTTTTGTTATGCACCTATTTTAAAAATAAATTTCATTAAAGGTCTTGTCAAAGAGTATCTATTAGATATATACTCTTTGATCTTGTTTTGAATCTCTCAAAATGAGTAAGGTATTTAAATACAATACAATTGTTTTTTTTACTTAAATCTTTTTTTTTTTTCGACTTAAATCTTTTTTTTTTCGACTTAAACCTATAAAACGACTTAAATCTAAAAACGACTTAAGTATTTTTAGGGATTTAAGTCCCTAAAAATGACTTAAGTCTTTTTCTAGATTTAAGTCGTTATATATTTGATTTAAGTCATTTTTAATAAGACTTAAGGCTTAAAAAAAAGACTTAAGTCTTTTTGAAAGGCTTAAGACTTAAATCTTTTCTGTTTTATAGAAAAAATGACTTAATACTTTTTTTATTTATTTATTATTTTTATTTCAAAAAAGACTTACGACTTATGACTTAAGTCTTTTTAGAAGTGACTTGTGACAGCTCTATATATTATATATATACATTTTAAAATGGAATTCCATATTCAACCATATAGGGAAAGCTATATGGAAAAACACATAAAACAGAAACCAGATAAATCCATATAAAAATCGTACATTTTAAAATGAAATTCCATATTAAACCATATAGATTCCAAAGTGTAAACCAGGTCGTTCCATATACAGGGTGGTCCAGGTTATAGTAGCAATAATTTACCATTCGATAGTCCATCAAAAAATAAGTCGACATGCATGGTAATTTTTTTCTCCAAAACCCCTCCTAAGGGAGATACAGCCCTTCAAAGTTGAGTTTTAAAAATCTTTTTTTTTGTAATAACTCTCAGGAAATAAAAGCGTTTTTGACCAAATTTGGTACAAGTACTTATGAAATAGGTACTTGTTACCTGACGTAAGTAACTTTTGTCAAAATTGTCCAGTGACGTAGATACAGGGGGGTTGTTTCACTTTTTCCACCCCATTTTTTACGCCACTGGATATTGGTTTAAATTTACCTATTTTTCTAATTCCTTGTTCAATTTTGAGAAAAAAAGCCACTCTTGTCAAATTTTTATTTAAGGCTTTGTTTACGAGATAAATGAGTTTAAAAAAAACATACAGTCCTGCAAAGTTCAGTTTTAAATATATTTTTTTTGTCATAACTCTAACTCTAAGATCGCTAAAGCGTTTTTCACCAACTTTGATACAAGTACTTATGAAGTAGATACTCGTTACTTGACCCAAGTAACTTTTGTCAAAATTGTCCGTTGGCGTACATACAGTGGTTGTTTCACTTTTTCCGCCCAGGATTTCACTGAAAAATAACTCGACATGCATTGTTTTATTTTCTTCAAAACTTCCCCTAAAGCCCTTCAAAATTCAATTTTAAGATTTATCTTTTTGTTATAACTCTCATATCGTTTATTATATTAAGATATTTGATTAAATTTGGTATAGGTATTTAAAATAGGTAATCACTTGACGTATTTTTATTTAAAATTATCAAGTGGCCTGATGCGCTTTATCCAATAAAATTAGGGCGGCCCCACTCTAGTATGAACTGTCAGTCTTAAACAACTGAATTAGCTGTCAGAGTGTTAATAAAGGTTTTCTATTATTTTTTACAGTCTGTTAAGATATTTTACAAGTATCCTGTAATCATAAATATGCCTTTTCGATTCACGAACCAAGAATACGCCGATATTCACTTCATTTATGGATTTTGTGATGGGAACGCGTTGCAAGCAGTTCAAGAATATCAAAGGCGTTTTCCCAATAAACGACAGCCACATCGCAAAGTCTTTGAGAATGTACACAACCTATTGGTGACACAATCACATCAGTGAAATCCTGAGCGGAAAAAGTGAAACAACCCCTGTATCTACGCCAATGGACAATTTTTACAAAAGTTACTTGGTCAAGTAACGAGTATCTATTTACTAAGTACATGTATCAAAGTTGGTAAAAAACGCTTTAGCGATCTTAGAGTTAGAGTTATGACAAAAAAAAGATATTTAAAACTGAACTTTGCAGTACTGTATGTTTTTTTTAAACTTAATTATCTCGTAAACAAAGCCTTAAATCAAAATTTGACAGGAGTGGCTTTTTTTTCAAAATTGAACAAGGAATTAGAAAAATAGGTCAATTTAAACCAATATCCAGTGGCGTAAAAAATGGGGTGGAAAAAGTGAAACAACCCCCCTGTATCTACGTCACTGGACAATTTTGACAAAAGTTACTTACGTCAAGTAACGAGTACCTATTTCATAAGTACTTGTACCAAATTTGGTCAAAAACGCTTTTATTTCCTGAAAGTTATGGCAAAAAAAAATTTTTAAAACTCAACTTTGAAGGGCTGTATCTCCCTTAGGATGGGTTTTGGAGAAAAAAATGTCGAATGGTAAATTATTGCTACTATAACCTGGACCACCCTGTATATAGGACATATAGAACCATATAAATCCATATTAGTTTCCTTATCTGGATCAATGTGACATTTTTAATAGGGTGAAATAATGTTTCCTAAAAATAAAAAGATTTTTTCTTAGTTTGATTTTTATTGACATCCCAAATATTTCTGACAGATTCATTATGACGACTGAAAATGGCATGTAGAGGTATTCAACCGATGAAAATCATCTTTTATTTCATGTGGTCTCCATTGAAAGCAGTCCTATTTTGGGACTTAAAAGCTGTTTAGATTTGAATTTAATTCAAAGAGTACATGCTCTGGATAATCAAGTCAATAGTAAAGAAAACTTGGATAAATTACTAAATAAATATAATTTTTTATTTTCTGGTATAGGCGAACTAAAAGAGCCGAAATTTAAGAGACCTTCTTCCCAATCACCATTCTTTTTATAAAAGCAAAATATGTAATAAAAATAAATATGACGACTTTTTAAATAAATCTAAAATAAACCAAAAATATTACTATGACAAAAAAGGTGTAAAATCCCTTGAACCCCTTAAAAATAATACCTTAATCTATTTTCAAAGAGAACTAGGTGGTGATTGGGAAAAGGCTATTATATTGTATAAAGTAGGATTAAGGTCATATAAAATTAAGACTGAAAATGGATCAATTTTAGTAAGAAACAGAAGATTTTTGAAAGTAGCTAAACATAAGGAAACTCATATAAATAAAAATAAAAAATCTGATTCATTTTCAAGCCCTAAATTTAACTTTTTAGAGAAAAAATATATTAAAGTTTGCAGTGATAACTTATCACAGGAAAATGACAGATCTTCTAAGGAAGGAGATGGTAACTCGACAAAAAATGTGAATATTTTGCCTGATCAACATTTCTTAGAAAATGAGGAATTTTTGCAGAGTGCCCCATCTACCACTAGCTTGGGTTATTCTGGAAAAAATCCAGTAACACAAAAAGAAGTTCAATTTAAGAGTGATACCTTAATTTCAGAAAATTGTCTGAAAAATAACATGGAGTACAAAACTAGAAGTGGAAGAGTAAGTAAAAATCCACAAAAATTTAATGATTACATAAATCATTTAGATTAATTAATTTATTTAACATTTTCTACACGAGTTGCCATCACTCATTTTCATAAAAAGAGGAATACAAATTATTTATAAAAAATTATTTATATTATATATAAATACACTATAGGGTATTATTGTTATGTATTTAAAAAAGAAAATAGTACAAAATATATTAATTTACAAAAATTGTAATTATTGTATAGGTGTTTTTACATAAATATATTATTATGCCTTGTTCTGTGATATTAGTTTAAGGAATGTTACTGTGATAGATGTAAGTTTTAAATTGTTAAATGTTTTTTGTTAAAAGGGGAGATGTCAGGTTGGCACAACTGAATCCAATGTATATAAGGCCGCGCACTGGAAATAAAACAAGTTACCACTTTACACTTGTAGTTTTATATACCAACCTCACAGTACCTACCTTAAGCAACCATGCGCACTGCTCTATCCCCCCCTGAGCCGAACAATGACCCTTTGAAAATGGGGCAACCTTTTTGCCGCACCCTATATTAATTCGCTATTTTTCCTGTCTGTTTTTATTGAATTTATGCTTGACATAATTTTATTTAATTACTTTTAAGCGTGGCAAAACAATTATATCAATTGTTAAATGATTTAAATCATACTGAGTTTTATATTCCCCAATTAAAAAAACTTACCTTCAATTTTTTTACGTTTAAAACATTCAAAAGTTTTAAAACTTTTTATTTAACTTACCAAAAACTAACTGTTTTTGTTGGCCCATCCTGTATATTCCTCCAAAACATATTGATTTAATTATATAATTATACTTGTTAATAAAACTTTATAATATATATAAAAAAATTACTTTGGTAATATTATTTAATTGTAAATTTTATACTTATTAATAAAACTTTATAATATATATAAAAAAATTACTTTGGAAATATTATTTAATTGTAAATTTTATGTTTATAACTTATTATTCAACGGTTTACAATAATATAAAATAAAACTAAATTTGTATGGTTAAATACGAACATTTAAATTTTTGTAATAAAATTACAGTATTTTTAAGCCTCAGACTCAATTTAATACAATAATCAGTTCTTCCATCAATTTATAGGGCATAAAATATTAACAAAATATCTTTTTTTACATAAAAACTATATTTATTAACATTCACTTATCCTTACACTTAATAAATAAAAAATAATTAACTATTCATCTTCCATTTCTTCATCACTTTCTTTGCTCACCTCTTCTTTATTGACTTTGTATGTTTCCAATCCTTTATCTTTGTGCCAACTAGCCATTAAATCCAAAGTAAAAGTGGCTAACCTGTATCCTAACAATTCTAATATTTTTGCTTGTTCTGGTGTCAAAACATTTCCCTCTTTACATATATCATAATCTTTTATTAAAGTAACAATACCTAAAATAGAAATACAAATAATTAATAAAATTGCAATTTTATAATTCCAAAGATATTTTACCTTTATCTAGTTTTGTTGGCAATCCCAACTGTCTTAAATATGGTTCCATTGAATGTGCAAACTGATCCAAAGGTCCAGCTTCTAATGATATACTTTCTTTAACTTTAAATCCAGAACGAGCAAAACCATCATATGAAAAATCATTAAACCAATCTTTTACTTCTTTTTCTGGTCTATCAGTAAAAAACAATGCACACTGTCCTTTTAGGCATTTTGAGAACTAAAAAATGTTAAAGTATAGGATATAGGTACAGCAACGATCTGGGAGCTCCATAACACTTTTAAAAAAAAGTATTTCATATGAATAAAAGCAAAAATAATAAACTTAATAAAAAAAACTTTAATCTAAACTGAAAAGTGATGTGATGGAGGGGCAAAATTCTCAGCTTACTTTGAAACGACTGAAGCAAAAAGAACGCCCACATTTGCAAATTTTACCGACGTGTGCTGACATTAACTGAAGGTTCAGTTCCTAGGGTTCAGTTTAAAAGAATGCAACTTTAAAGCAAGGGCAGTAAATTAAAAACATTAATATATATGTATATTCTTGAAAAATCAAGAATCTAAATATTGATACATAGAAACAAAATATTTACCTTATGTAGACCTTCTTCTACTTCTTCCTCCTCTGTCCTGCCCAAACCAATCTGAAGAATTTTAATTTTTCCAAAGAAAAACTTACTTGGCTTCCACTGTTCGCGAATTTCTTTCATTTTATCATTTCGTATATTTTTGTAAGTGAACACGTAAACACTATTAAACTTCTCCACACAATTTTTAACATCTTCAGCTATTTTCTGTTTAAGAGCCAATCCTTTTTTGTCTGTTTTTGTTAAAGAAACTAAAAGAAATTTATAGGTTAGAAATGATGCATGCTCATAACATACAACATTTACATGGACAGGTTTTTAATACTTACTTTTTTTATCCCTTTTTGATTTCGGCATCTTTGTTCACTCGTTAGAAATTTTAAATATACGTAAATTACACAAAATTACTTAACTTGTTTAAAATGCGGACAACACGTGTATTGATTTGTATAACTGTCAAATTCAAACGTGTGGCAGCACTTTCGAGAAATCGCGCAGGACAGAGGTGGACTCGTGATATTTAATTAATTGTATTTAAAATAGTTTTATTTAATTTTTAGAAAAATGATGCCACAAGAAATTGCAATGCTGATGGGAGTTGGTTTTCTTTTAACAATAAATCTTGGACAAACTACACAAGATGTGTGCCAGGAAACACACCTACAGTATTAATGGAAATACCAAAATCAGAATATATTTCCAGAAAATTACAAGCAAGTGTTATATTATAATAAAATTAATAAAAATTTATTTTAAATTTTATATTTTTAGGAAACGTTACCAGCTATCACAATGATCTCACAGACTGGATATGCAGCATCATTGATCTCTTTAATTATAGCATTTACTATTATGTTTTCAATTAAGTGGGATATATTTTTTAATTTATAAAATATAAAAATAATGATTAATATTTTTAGGAAACTGCATTGCGCCAGAAATATTTTACACATGAATTTATTTGCTTCATTCATTTTAAGGGCCTTTATTTTGATATTAAAAGACATTTTGTTTTATCAAGGTTTAGGGACAGCAGAAGATTTTGTTAATATAAATGGAAAGTATTATTTTAACATAAATGTAGAGGTAATTATATTAATGTACAAACAATATCTTATTAATTTTATTATTAATATTTAGACCAGCAACTACAAATGCAAATTATTAACATCATTAGCACATTATTTTACAAGTGCTAATTATTCCTGGATTCTAATGGAGGGTTTATATCTAAACAACTTAATATTTAGAGCCCTTTTTGCAGATTCCAGTAAAAATATTGTGCATTATGTTATACTGGGATGGGGTTAGTCATTTTTTATGAATATTTTTTTCCAGATAAGTTTATTTTTATTTTTTAGGTATGCCATTACTAGTTGTTATACCATGGATAATAGCTCGCATATGGCTCGAAGATTCTTTATGTTGGACGTCACAAGAAAATAATGTTGCATTTTTAATTATAGCAATACCCACAATAATTTCTATATTGGTATGTACCTACCTACCTTTTATAATTTTCCCTGACACGTTGGCTACTATTGGCCAAATTGTGTATCACCAGTGACCCGGGTCACTGGTGATACACAATTTGGCGGGTTACGAAGAAAAATACTTGTATAATATATTTTAAGTCCGCAGTACAGTTGTTGTATTCCAGGTAGCACTTGTGCTACGTGAACGCATTGACGTCTGCTAAAAAAAGTCAGCAGACGTCATTTTAACGTTATCAGACTTCATTGTGACACACTGACGTATGTTGACGTTTTAATTACGTTGCTGACGTCATTTTAAGGTTAGGAGACGTTAGTGTGCTACCTGGGGTTGTAATTATTGTAATAAGTTATTACCTACTAATATACATATCCTATAATAATATGCATCACCGGTGATACCCAACCAAAAATTATACAGTAAAAAATAGCCATGTGGTATCTAATTAGTCATTTAAATGACTGAACTCACAGGTAATAAACTGCTTGTCATAAAAATCGACGCACCTAGTTTTTTGGAAAATATTTGAAAGCTCGTTATTGGAAAATTACTGAATCGATTTTGAAAATCTTTGGAAATTCTGAATAGCTGATTCTTTGATTCTTATGTCAAATTTTGGGAATACGATATTTTGCACTTAGCATTATACCACGTAGTACAGGGTGTTAAACGAAGATATGTATTTTTTCTGAAATAGACCTATCCCATAAAACGGACTTTTGGATAGCGCGTGCGTGAAAAGGCACGTCGTCTTTTTTTAATTATATAAAAGAGAAAGAGATACCACTCTTCTTCAGGCACGCGCTATCCAAAAGTCTGTTTTATGGGATAGGTCTATTTCAAGTTATTCCCATTCATGAGGCAGTTGAGTTTGATAGTCGTAATACCCCTTCCTAATATTAGTAAGGTAATCCCTCGAAACGTTTTCGAGATTTTGTGAATATCGCGGCTTACTACGATTATTTGCCAATTTATCGAAAATTGTCGTTATTTCCCAGTTTAGTATAAAAAATGTGCAATAGTGGATTCTTTGACTTACGTCTAATTTTGAGAATACAATATTGTGCACATAGCATTATACTACAGGGTGTTAAAAAAGTGATGTTTTTTTCAAAAATTCCAAATCCCCATTCAAAGGGCAGTTGAGCTTGATAGTCCCAATACTCCTCCCTAATATTAGGGAGAGATAACATAACTGTTATATAACAGTTATGTTATCTCTCGGGACATTTTCGAGATTTTATGGATATCTTGGCTAACCATGATTGTACGGCAATTTTTCGAAAATTCACGTTATTCTTCATTTTAGTCAAAAAAATCAGCAATAGTTGATTTTTTTACTCTTATGTCTAATTTTGAGAATACAATATTGTGCACATAGCATGATACTACAGGGTGTTAAAAAAGAGATGTTTTTTTCCAAAATTCCAAATCCCCTTCACAGGGCAGTCGAGCTTGATAGTCCTAATACCCCTTCCCAATAACAGTTAGGTAATCCCTCGGTACATTTTCGAGATTTTGTGGATATCTTGGCTAACTATGATTATATACCAATTTTTCGAAAATTGTCGTTATTCCCCAGTTGTCCAAAAAATGAGCAATAGTAGATTCTTTGACTTAGGTCTAAGTTTGGGAATACGATATTGTGCACATAGCATTATATAATGTATATATAGTATATACTACAGGGTGTTAAAAAAAGAGATGTTTTTCCAAAATTCCAAATCACCATTCACAGGGCAGTTGAGCCTGATAGTCATAATACCCCTTCCTAATAACAGGTAATCCCTCGGGACATTTTCGAGATTTTGTGGATATCTTGGATTACGATTATATGGCAGTTTTTCGAAAATTCACGTTATTCTTCACTTAAGTCCCAAAAATGAGCAAACTACGGAAGGTATCAACACAGGGTTTTAAGGCAGGTCACTTGCTTCCAGTTTATATACGTTGCGTGATTCATTAAAAGTGAAATGTTTCACACAAAACCAATTTTTTTCGGTTAAATTCAAAATAAAAACGCAAACCAAACAAAATTATTCTCGTAAACTTATGCAGGTATATTCATGCAATTTTCTACAAACGGTTGACTATGAAAGTTTAAAAAATATGGCGCATATCTGGTTTGAAGCTTCCTTCCTTCAATTATTCTTGTCATTTTAGTCGTCGAATATGAAAACCTTTTTCAAACAGCAAATCACATTTAAAAAAATAAAATGACGGATGTAAGATTGCATACCACGCAAGACGAAGAGCTGCCTGCCCTCTTTTCCTGCTATAAGAAGATGGGCACAAGAACATACAAATTGGGGAAACGATGTGTTGATAACTAATCGATACCTTTCGTAATTTGCTCATTTTTTGGACTAAAATAAAGAATAACGTGAATTTTCGAAAAATTGCCATATAATCGTAGTTAGCCAAGATATCCACAAAATCTCGAAAACGTCCCGAGAGATAACCTAGCTGTTATTAGGAAGGGGTATTATCAAGCTCAACTGCCCTGTGAATGGGGATTTAAAATTTTGGAAAAAAACATCCCTTTTTTAACACCCTGTAGTATAATGCTATGTGCACAATATCTTATTCTCAAAATTAGTCGTAAGTCAAAGAATTCACTATTGCCCATTTTTTGGACTAAACTGGGAAATAACGACAATTTTCGATAAATTGGCATATAATCGTAGTAAACCGCGATATTCACAAAATCTCGAAAACGTTCCGAGGGATTACCTTACTTATATTAGGGAGGGGTATTACGACTATCAAACTCAACTGCCTCATGAATGGGAATAACTTGAAATTTCGGAAAAAATACATCTCTTCGTTTAACACCCTGTAGTATAATGCTATGTGCAAAATATCGTATTCCCAAAATTTGATATAAGAGTCAAAGAATCAGCTATTCATAATTTCCAAAGATTTTCAAAATCGATTCAGTAATTTTTCAATAACGAGCTTTCAAATATTTTCTAAAAAACTAGGTTCGTCGATTTTTATGACGAGCAGTTTATATATTATATATGGCACATATAATAACGATTGTAATTTTGGCCTTGTAGTCAATGTGATAAACAGGAAATAAACTGCTCACAAAGTGGAATTTCTTTAAATAGGTTTGTTTTAAGAGCTCTAAAAACACCAAATGTTAAAACAGTTTGCAGTATACTGCACTATAGTGTGAAGAAAGATCTTCCAATTTTCTTAAAATGTCAACGTTATTGTCAATCATGACGCACATTGGTACATACAAGGTGAGTATGAGTATAAAAGACGTATAATCGGCCCCTTTGCCTCATTTCTCCTGGGCCCCGCATCCTTACGCCGATTTTCTTTCGCCACCAGCAACGGCACGGTTTCACCCGTTGTTGGGTGCGAATGTCCATTGCGACCCATACTGTCTCCTATTTAGGGCTCGAGAGCGAAATGCCAATAGTTTTAATAGCCATTCCCGGGTTCGCCGGGCCGATGCTATACGCCCAGTAGGGTCATGAAGAAGGTAGGATGGGAAGAATAGACATTTTGGTGTTTGGGGGACAATTACGCCGACTCAAATCTAAGTACGACGCGGTATCCCCCTAGACTAGGCAGTTATAACTATAGTATTACTCCAAACATTTGGGATTACTGTATGGAGTTCTTTTTATTTTGCTGCAGGGGCCTACCTCTTGGTCTACGTTTTGGTCGTTATTGTTCGGGTCCGTGTCCAAGTAGGATTGTCCCTGCACGTGTGTCGCCGGGACGGCCGTGTCTGCTGAAAATTCGGGAACCGCTGTACGTCGATGGTCTGCCCACTGTGCGAAACCAATTCTTCAGTCTTGAGGTCGAAAACTATCGATATAGTTCAGTAGTCGGCCATGTAACTATAGTATCGGTATACCGATAATTAACGATAGCTTTCTTTTTTTTTTAATGCTTATTACCGCATTAGTGTAAATTTTCTAACAATTTTTATCAGGGTGGAAGAAGGAGGTGATACATCTCTATCCCGGAAAGCGGCCAAATAACTCAGTATTTGTTAAAATTCTCAATAGATGGCGCATTGACGTGGAGCCTGTTTTAATCCGGTGCACAACAAGCTTTTCCCATTTTTAGTAAAATTGCATAGATTAACTTCACAGAATAGACCACTAAGCTTAATTAAAATTCAAATAAAACCATTTCAACGTCACTTAAGTGAAATTTTGTGCGTTTGTGGCGACTGTGCATTTTGGCAGAACAGTGCAATACTACAGTATTGCCAATCGTTCTGCAAATTATTATAATAATGCTGTAAGAAAACATGTACCTATAACTTATATTATAGGTTATAGGTATATGTAAGAAAAGATGTAACTTTCGTTAAGGAGGGTAGAAGACTCTCCTTGAGTTTTCGTTATCTTATAATTCGTTGTTAAAAGTTAAGTTGTTATAGAATATATGGATTTCGTTGGTAAAACCTTAGGTTCTTAGTTGATTCGCCATCTAACGAACAACGAAAGAAATACTGACTTATCTGGACGCTTGCTTCTGTACTGTAGAGAGAGGAGCTATATCACCTTCTTCTTTCACCCTGGTTAATATCACAATCCATTGTGTGGATTGTGGTTAATATGTTCCCCAAGCACCTTAATCATCTTCGCTGAGTTTTGATTCTAAGAGTCTGTTTATTTGGTCTAGTTTAGTTTAAAGTTTATTTTGTGTGGGCTGTTCTCTTAAATTATTTTAGGTTTATTGCATAGATGACCGCGTTTGTTGATGACAGATTTATTGTCTTACTCAGCTTTCTTGTAAATGACCGTAGTATGGGGCGGTTTTGTTTTTTTTTGTTATTTGTCTTTATTTTTGGTGTTTGCTTACTATTGTCTTACTAATATTAGTAACATATGTTACTACTTTTACTGATGCACTTAAGCAAAGTGACTAACTTAAGTTTTAAGGTAACTGTCGTGTCCAATATTGTTGCAAATTATGTTTTAGGTCATGCAGATGTTTAAGGTTACTTATCCAATTTTGCAG